CCCAGCGGCAGCCACAGCTTCTCTGGGCATCCTGTGCCAGGGCCTCAGCACCTTCATTTTTCCCACTGTTGCTTCTAGCAAAGGCCAGTTAGCGACGCATCGCACCTTGGAGTATGCTGCTCCACATCACAACTTCACAGACTATACATATTTTGGAGACCAGCTGATGATTTTGATGGAACTTTTCCAGTTTTGATGGGCAGGAAGATCAAGAAACCACAGGCTGTTTGCAGAGATGCTGTTTCCACACCCAGGCTTCTCTTGCGTCACTAAAAGGGCACCAGGACCTCCCCATCATTTTGGGCAGAGATGCTGGGACGACCGCCTTCCCACCAAGCACATCTCAGGGAAGAGTTGCTTGAGTTTTGCTCACTTCTTCACTCGTGCCCACCACCTCCAAACCTTGGGACTTCCACGCACCTCTTGTGTGTCCAAAGAAGAGCAACGAAGCTGGTGCAGGGTCTGGAGCACAAGTCTGATGGGAGCAGCTGAGGGAACTGGGGTGTTTAGCCTGGAGAAGAGGAGGCTGAGGGGACACCTGATCGCTCCCTACAACTCCCTGGAAGGAGGCTGTAGCCAGATGGGTGTTGGTCTCTTCTCCCAAGTAACAAGTGCTACGACAAGAGGAAATGGCCTCAGGTTGTGCCAGGGGAGATTTAGATTGGATAGTAGGAAAAATTTCTTCACCAAAAGGGTTGTCAAGCACTGGGACAGGCTGCCCAGGGCAGTGGTGGAGTCACCATCCCTGGAGGGATTTAAAAGCCGTGTAGATGTGGTGTTTGGGGACATGGGTTAGTGGTGGGCTGGGCAGTGCTGGGTTAATGGTTGAGCTGGATGATCTTAAAGGTCTTTTCCAATCTAAATGATTCTATGATTCTTCCCCTCCATTATCATCTCTCTGCTCCTCACGCTTCTTCTTTTCCAGCCTTTCCCATCCCAGGAGGCCTTACTGGGTTGTTTAGACTGTGCTACTGCTCAGCCCTAAAAGGAGAATGACAAAGATCCACGTCGAGAGGTATTAATGGGATTTATCCACCCGTCCCGCAACCATCCTGGGAACAGAAGTCTTCCATCTTGACTGTCAGCCTAGCAGCTTTCATTAGGAGGGAAATATAATACTTTCACAAGCTAATTAATTGTGAGTGCTGATGCTTTAGCAGGAGATGCTAAGTGCAAGGGGTGGAGGAGAGTTCCCCAAAGCTGGTCCAAGTTCTTTCAGCTGTGAGTGGGGAGCAAACATGACATTAGCCAGGCTAATCAGCCTATTAGTCTTTAAAAATGACAGTCATAAAATATATCTTGCTGATTAGATATCGGATGGAGTTGTAAAACCTGTACAAATGTTATATTAATCACAGACCTGTATTAGAGAAGTCTAATCATTAATGTCAGTTTAAAACATGCTACCCAAGATGGTAACGTTACTAACGTAATCCAGGTGGCTTACAAAGTGCAAACGAAGCCCGGGCTGATGTCTCTCTGGAGAGGACACGGCGTGCACTGTTCCTCGATTTCTCCTAAAAGCCCTTTGCATGGGAACGCAGCCACTGTAGGGCTGATGGGTCCCCCAGGTTGTCCCCAACCTTGGGGGGCTCCTCCAAGCTTCTGGAGGTTCCTCCAAGCATGCAAGGCAGCATGAAAGAAGAAGAAACTCACGAGCCAGGAACAGAGACAAAGATCAGTCACTTGTTCCATAGGAACCAGGGTGAAGCCATCAGACTGTGCACGGCTTTTGGTGTTCGTGTGCCCAGGATCAGATCACAACCTCCAGCAGTCGCATCTTCTGGAGAAGAGCACCTGCCTCTGCCAGGAGCAGAGGAGACGGGATACCCAAGCCTTGTCCACCAGTTACCTTGGCTCTCCTAAGCCTGGGTTGCTGAAAAATATGAAAAGCTTGCAGGTCCTCATCGTGTTTTTCACGTAGCACACAGGCAAGGATCTGTTATGGGCAACACACTACTGCCACAAAGCCACTTCGTATAGATCTGCTCAGTCATCCACTCCGACTGTGGTCCTGAGATATGCTGCGCCCAGAAGGAACGGGAGATGGGCAGGACCAGTAACACTCCCTCAACCTACTGGGTTGTCACAGTGTGGTCCTGTCCCAGCTATTTCCGAAATCCTGCAAATCAGGGCAATGAGTAGAGAATCACAAAGCAGGCTTTCCATCCCTACGTCAGGAAGACTTCTGGCCCACGACCTAGGCTCAGGTACAAGTTCTGTGCACAACGTCTCTTTGCAGCAGTCAGCCAGGAGCCGGATCCCATGTTTGTAGATGCTTTCCACACTTAACAGAGCTAAAATGTCTCTGTTTAAACCTCTCGAGCTTCTGCTGGTTCCTCAACCTTCCACTACGGCTGCTGTCTCCCTTTAGTGAGGGCATCTAGCTCACCTCTTGTGCTGGCAGAGAAGATCGCTCCATGCCTTGCTGCTCACTCACGTAGTGCTCTGCACGCCTTCTCCAGACAACTCGAGAGAAAAACACGAACCCACATCCATCATACTTGGGAGGTTTTATCCTGTTTGCTCCCAACAGATTATGGCACGAACGATGACAGGATGGACACAAGAACAAGGACGTTCTCTAAAGTTTCAACAGTCAAGACCTACTAAGACTTCAGACGGGCACTGGTTTCAGCTGTAGGTGTCAGCTACGTCCACCCTGGGAAATAAAACAGGCGAAGGACTGGTCCCCAGCACTGGGGCTGGCCGGTGTGGCAGAGCTCAGCTCATATCCATCCATGCACACAACTGGACGGCCCTGTGTGAGCCCATGGGCTTTGTCCTGCTTCCTTCAACAGCAGCCACGCAGCCGGAAGGTGGGATATGATGAAAAACACTTTCATACAAGCAGATGTGAGTGGACTACGTTCAGATTTGATTTTCGGCCACAGGCATTCAGTGTGCAGAATGGGACTTGTCCATGGCCAGCAAGCTCTGCAACCAAAACCCAACTGTAGCTCATAGCATGTCATCCACCCCAAAGCAGAATTATTTCTTCATTATATGCAAGGTATCTAGCTGAGAGGGTCAGAGAGGATGCACCCTTGAGCTCTCACAGTCTCTGATGCTCCAAACTACCAGATATCTACCCAGATTCTCCTCAAATACACTGTGATCTGCCAAGTATCCAAAAAACCCATCCATGTCGTGGACAGGGACTGAATGAAGGACTGTGGTGGAGCCTCAGCGTGAATGCTCCTTATTCCCCATGGCTCTGGCATAAAGCCAGACCTTGGCCACCAACCTGAACACCCGTCTGAGAGGTCTCGATGGTACTTCACCATGAGTTTTGGTACATGTCACCAGAAAGGCCTGATTATTTGTCTTCACAGTCACGAGGAACAGAGGAACAATACCTCCTCCAGTTTCAAGTTGCTTACATCTCCATTCTTTGTAGCCTTGCGTTGGAAGCTGGTTTCTTCTGTGTCATCTTCAAGAGGCCAGGACCAGGAAGGGATCAGATACATTAAGACTCCTTGAGGGATGGGGAATTGGATTCAAATTCCTTTCTGGGACGGTCTCAGCTAGGACAAGAGCTGTAACATTTCAGGTAGCAAGCAGTATCCCCTCAAAGTGCCAAGGAACCCGGATGGACCTATCCTGAACAATTTGAGACCATCCCTGATGACCTCTCCCTATTCCTGGCAAGACACCATCCTCCTAACCAACTCCTGAAGGGACATAAGGTCTCCAGCACAGTAAAGGTACTTAATGACGTATTCAGACACAAAGAGGACACTGGAAGGTGAGGTATGATACTGGTCCCACTGGGTGTTACTGGACTAGGGTAAATTTAGCTAAAGGTGCCACTTGGGGGAATAACGTTTTACTGAACAGGCCGGTGATGTTCCTACGTGCTGGGAAGCGCGGTGGCACCGAACTTCCTCAGTACTCTGTGGCCACAGTGATTTATTTGCTGAATAACTCTAGAGACTGTTTGCGAAGTGCCGGGCAGCTTCGCCTCCTTCACTCAAAGTCAAGGTAAGTTCTAGCAGCCGTTCTCTCCAGGCTGTTTTTTTTTAAGGAAAAAAAATACCAATTTCTGCCAGGACGCTTGTTTCCAGGAGTTTCTTGTGCTGCCTTTTTTATGCATCATAAATCATTTTGGTTGGAAAAGACCTTTAAAACCAGCTCGAAAGCAACCCAAGCAACAAGTGATCGGACAAGAGGAAACGACCTCAAATTGCTCCAGGGGAGGTTCAGGTTGGATATTAGGAAAAATTTCTTCACTGAAAGGGCGGTCAGACATTGGACAGGCTCCCCAGAGAGGTGGTGGAGTCCCCATCCCTGGAGGTGTTCAAAAAGCGTGTAGACGTGGCACTTCAGGACACAGTCTAGTAGACACAGTGGTGTTGGGTTGACGGTTGGACTTGATGATCCTAGAGGTTTTTTCCAACCTTAAAGATTCTATGGTTCTATGAAATGTTAAAAGTTTGATTTCTAAATATTGAATGTTTGACGAACAGGGCACTCAGTGAAATTAGTCTGTCTTTCACGAGGATCTACCTTTGACTGGGTTTTAAGAAACCTTCATGGGCTGCTCCAAAAATTAAGTTTCAGTTGTCTACATCGAAAACGATGCATGCTCAAAGAAAACAAAAACAACTCAAGCAGCTACACAGGACAAACCAAAACTTTGCTGTGCCATGTTCTCAAAGGAATGAGCCTGCTGCCGGGGCCGGGCAGAGCCTGAAATTTTCTGGATAGTGCTGCACAACCACCAAATATTAGTCCAGATAAATCAAGTTTCCAGAACCAATCTTTGTAAATACACCTGGGACTTCAGAAGAGCCCCGAAATTTAAAACAAAACAAAAAACCCCCTCAATAAACCCAACTTCCCTCCCCAGTGAGTTCCTCTAAGTGCAGCTAGCAAGACCAAACAGCAAGTCCACTGCTAAAAGTTTCATTTCACAGATTCCAGCAGGAAAACCACAGAAGACACATGCATGGCCTTCACAGGTCACCATTGCTCTTCCAAAAACTCCCATTTCACGTGCAACGGGAGAGACCTAACCTACAGTGGGATCCGCATGGATTTATTCAAGAACGGGAAGGGAAGATGACGTACAAGCACGAACACGATGGAAACACTGTTTTGCTGAGCCTGGGAGGAAAAGGGGAAGAGTTTAGGACAGCCTTCAGCAACTGCACACGTGGGTTATAAGGAGAGATCTGAAGTGTTAAGAGCATCAGAATAACTTGATTTTTCTATCCAACTATACATGAAGATGAGAAAAGAAGCAACAACCCTCTTTCCACGCCTTCCCTCCGACACTACCGACTACACAGCAGACCTAAGGAGATCCTCGGGCACAAGGCAGGAGAAACCCTGGGGTCCACAGAGATGCCGTGACTGCGGCTGACGGCACGCACCTGAGCTGTAGCTATCTGTCGAGGACTGCGAGATGGAGCGGGAAAGCGAACGGCGGCCGATCTTCGTCGGGCGTTTGTTGAATTCTTGCTTTTGGTCAGCAAACTGGATCTGTTAAAAGAAATTAATAGTTAAGTCAGATGTAAACACCCAACAGTCTGATACAGAAGATTGATGCCAAGAACCCAAAGCCTTGAGCTACGCAGACACCATCTCAGTTACGGGCTGAATCGCAATTTCTGTTATTTAGTTGGGGACATTGGGTATGCTAAATCGCCTACTTCGTTTCATTTCAGAGCCTCCACCAGACACAGCATCGACACACTTGTCTTTCAAACACCTTGAAGCTCCCATCTTAACCATACGAATTAGAAAGTTTCTGTCCCCACAACACACAAAGTTTTTTTTCCAAAATGCCAACATAAGGGTTATTTGTCACAAGAGAAGCCCCATTAGGGCCACCCAACATTTGCAGAACTGATGCGGACGCCGACCTATCTCACAAAGTTTATCGTGGTGACCAGTAGGAGATGCTTCCTATTTGCTGTACGAAATACAAAAGGCAAAAATAAAAATACTACAAGTAAGGAATACTGCTTCCAGCTGCACTCTATATTAAGAAGCTTTTGAGATTAGATGCATCGCTCAAGGCTGTTGTAACTGTTGGGAGCATGGACACCTGGAGAACACAAGTATTTAAGAGTATTGTATCTAAGAGTATACAACTTTATATGACAAATCAAGAAATGAAGGCTAAGGCGTGTAAATGAAGCGATGTGCAGACTGGCAAAATGGAATTATCCAAGTTGGAGAGAAGGAACCAACTATCTATTTACCGGCAACGCCTACAATAAAACCACGCCAATGGATGTAACCCCAATATTTCGTGGCATTTTGCATCTTCCCTCTTTTTTAACGGAGCTCATCTCATTGCAAGCAATTGTTGTGGATGACAAATAGCAACCTGCTCAACCCGAGATGAAGAATCAAACTCGTTTCCGTTTCAGTCATCACCAAGGAATGAAGATTTCAGACATGTGCGAAGCCCCAAGACCAGCAGCGGGTTTAACAGCAGCCCAGCACGACCAGGCTCAGCCCTGCCCGTGTTACGGCTGCGATAACTGCCAAGCCATTTATTTTAAGACAGCAAAGCTGATCTGCTCCAAAGTGTGCAGAGGACGGGAGGGATAAGTAAAGAAGTGTCACTTTTATCTAGGCACTTTTAAGGGAAAAATGACTTTTAACATTGGTATTTATAGAAGAACCTCTTTCTCCAGGCTTCATTTTACTCCTGCCTTTGGCTGAAAAGAACAGCAAGGCGGCCAAATAATCAGTAATTAGTAATAGTCATAATTCCTTATTATAAACTCCCCAAATCCAGGTTTTCACATAAACCAAACATCTGCTCTTACAGATGACTGTTAGTGATTTCAAAGCAGAAACTCAGCCCTTCCCTGCCCTGTTGACATGTACCTCGGGTTGAACTTGACTTAAAGCTTCTCTGCTCACATCAGCACCCCCAAAGGGCTTCACGAGCATCAGACGCGTTTCAGCAGGCACTAAAACTGCTCGGAGCCCACCTGCCTTGCCCAAGGGACACGGTACATCTCAAAACCACACCAGCACCTCAACATCCTTCTTAATTCTCTCTAGATGTGGCTGCTGGGCCATATTTAAGCATTCGGGAGAAAAGACTTTAAGTTTTAGGTAAGATTTTTAACTCCCAGCGCTCATCCCTTTGCAAGTCAACCACCAACGCTCCCAATATGTTCACGGTTTGTGCTAAATCTCTTGGAACACGACTTCCAATTGCAAATTTCCCTGGACTTTGCCATGGGCATAAACTGACTCAATCTGGTACAACGGGGTTAAATATTTACATCTCCAAAATACTAAAAGCCATTAATAGAGTCTATTAACTAACCCCTTGGGGTGTTTTGAGAACTTAGTTTTGTTTAAAGAAGTCACCTAACCAGAATGAATTTGATCCCGTTCCGGGAACTCAAATTCAAGTGGTTTAAGCAGCGGCACTTGACGCTGCACATGAGATGGGCTGGTGATGCTACAGAGCTGGTACCCAGCTTTTTTGGGCCAGTAAGTGAAAGAAAAAGGTGTTGGGGCTCTCAGGTGGCTAATTCAGAGTCCCCAAGTCTGAGCTGGCCTGGGGATGACCAGCCCAAGCTGCTGGGGAGCGGGGAAAGGACCTGGGAGAGGATTTGCAGCAGCACCTGGAAGCTCTTTTTATTTTCTACTAATCTTAAACCAAACAACAGAACGACACCAGATCAGGCAACACACAGGGGAGGGGAGAAAAAGCACATCAAACTCATATTACAGTCAAGAGTTGCGTTGTGGATTAACACCTCTGATCCCGGCGGGACAGGGTTTTTGCACAGACAAACCAGTTTTTGTATTCCTTTTCTAAGAAGCCTTTGGCCCAAAATAACTTTCTTTTTTTTTTAATTTTTATTTAAAAAAAAACCCTCGACAGCTGAGCAGCTTCATCAAAGCATCAGGTTATTCGTGCGAAATGATGCTCTCAGCAAAGTGAGATACATTGGAAGTCTAACAAAGGGTGAATAATTAGTATTATAATTAACATTTTCCTTTCCTACATCATCTCTTCAAGGACATTCCACGCAACTATTTCAAGCGACACGGTAATACTGATAATTGCATTCAGAGCTCTTGAAGTACTTCCACATGCAACGTTGATAGACAAGAACATGCGGAAAAGTAAAATAAGTCATGAACCAAATTAGGCAGAACTAGAACTAGACTTTATAACACACCCTGTCCTAAACCCCCTTGAGGGTTTAAACCCTTTAAATGCTGCCACAAGCTGGGGTTAGCTTTAGCTGAGCAAGGCACTGGCTGCCAAGAGGTGGAAGGAGGCACCATAAGAGGAGAACGTAGGGCGTCTTCTAGGTCAAGGCTGCTTTTAGCTAGCGATGACCCTTCACCAACGTCTTTTGACTTTATCCTTTGAACAACAGAGAGAGCGTGCAAGAAAGGATGTTGGAATTTGATTTATGAAAGACATCTATTGTATCCACCTTATTCAGTGCTAGATTTTGTATCGCGTGGACACGGGAAGGGTACAAAGTGCCGGCAGGAGTACACCCTTAAGCCAGTTTCATAGAATCCCAGACTGGTTGGGTTGGAAGGGCCCTTTGAAGATCATCTAGCCCAACGCCCTGCCATGGGCAGGGACACCCTCCACTAGCCCAGGTTGCCCAAAGCCCCATCCAGCCTGGCCTTGAACACTGCCAGGGAGCCAGGGGCAGCCACAGCTTCTCTGGGCAACCTCTGCCAGGGCCTCAGCACCCTCACAGGGAAGAAGTTCTTCATAACCTCTCATCTCAATCTCCCCTCTTTTAGTTTAAACCCGTTACCCCTTGTCCTGTCGCTAACTGCCCCTGTGAACAGTCCCTCTTCCCCCTGTTTCCATAACACATCTTCATTTCAGAGATTTCAGCAACGCACTCGATCCAGCCAGAAGGAGAAAACCCAACCTTGCTTGACCAGACCAAAACTCCGGTTTTAACCCCTACCGAAGGCAACCGATGGCACAACACGCCGCGTTCGGGGGCATTCGAGACTGGGACAAGAACAGTGATTTGGTTCCAGGTTGAACTCGTCCAGCTCAAACCGAGACGTCTGTGAAGGTAACAGCCACCTTCGCACAGGTGAAAGCTCAAAGGAGAAACTGCGCAGCCTTTGAGAGCCGCAGCGGCTTGGATTTAGAAGTCCAACCTGCTCTGCAGCAACACGAATCCCGCTGCTTTCAACCTCCAGCAGGAAAAAAACCCCCACAATTCAAGCTGAAAAACCTCACCTCCGCACGTACAAGGGGTTAATGACTTCTAAATGCAGGTGCGTGCTCGTTACATTTCAAATGAGCTACGTCTCCCCTTGACCTGGGGTTTCCACCACGAAGAGCCACTCTACGCTACTACACCGAGCAAAAAAAGTCTTGCCATCCCAGGTTTTCCAGGGCAATCTCCCTGCTCGCGAACCCATCGTCTCCTCCATCACGGTGCTCCGAAGAACAACCCCAGAGCAACGTGTTCGGCTCAACGCTTCATCATTTCAAACCTCCTGATCCCCAAAGAAAATAAAGTCCTCCGGAGATCGGGATTTCCTCTAGGCGGTGAAGGGATGCAGTCAGCTCCAGAAATAAGTGT